TGCTCCTAAAATGGCTGATAAATATTCCTGGTCTCCTCCATTATTCTTGGGAATTAACAACCCTGTGAGTTCTCCATGTACATATCATTAAATTCATTGTTTTTCCTTAGCTAACCCCTTTGATGCTGTTTTGATTACTCATCCAGCCTGAGGAGAATCCAGAGAGGTACAGGATGATTTATTTTCTGTCCCAACATAGCGAAGACCAACCTCATCCCAGTTCATTTAGAGGAGCCCCATTTTCATTAGTTTTCTGTTTGAAGGGCTGGCAGTTTATGTGGCTGACTTTTTTCTGCCATCACTGCCATTTATTATCAGTGCTGAAGCCAAGTTCCCATGTTGCGAGCTACATCTCTGTCCATTGCTGTGTTGATCTTCTCACTGGGGAGGTGACCTGGGTAGGCCCTGGTTTCTTCTGGGGAGGGCGATTTCACCTCTTCAATAACAGGTTGACCAGGGTTTACTAAGCCTGAACTCTCTAGGGCACTGATCTTTATGTTTCACTAAAGATGACAGTGACTTTCCCCACATAACATGTCCCCAAGCCAGTGTGGCTGGATTGGGAGGGGTCTCCCCACCCCCACCATTGCTACAGACCTTTCCCTGTGCCTCACCCATTCCCTTCCCAACAGTCCTGGGGTCTTATAGCATAAACCTGGGCTGGCAGTTGACTGTTGTCTTCTCTCAAGGCAGCTCTCCCCAGGAATGCATTGATGAGCTTTTTAACTTGAGCCCTGGCCCTGAAGGGGAGAAGTTCTACACCCGGTCCAGGTTTAGTTCTATGAACAAGGGATACGGGCTAAACAGACCACGTATGCTCCTACTCTCAAGGTGTTTCCATTCTTTGGGAAGCACAGGCAGGTATTCCATACATAAACCCACAGGCAGGTGAGGCATTGTGTGTGGGGGGCGGGGGGGGAGGCTGTGGGATGAGGGAAGGCCTTCATCATGACATTTAAGCTGACATTTAGTGAAGATGTTGCATGGCACACAGCAAGGCAAGGACTAGAGATGATGTCCGGGGTGACTGGAGCAGAGGGAGGAGAGGGAGTTGGCAATGGCTCCCTAGAAGGCCCCCCGCCATCCCCAGATCTCTAAGGCTTCTTCCAGTTTCCACATTCTCAGATCATTAGTAAGCTAATAGGAAACCCTTAATGCCAAAGTGTGGCTTTTATTTGGCCATCTAGATTTTGTGAATTTGAATTTTGGGTTGTCTTGTTTTCATCTGAGTTCTTAATTACTATTGGAAAAAGAAACTCTGGCTTTGTTATGGCCACACCTTTCCAACCCATGTACTTCACCTAGATAAAATCTTGCATAGCCCAAATTGTTAAAGTAAGATTCTCCAGTAAAGATGAATGTAATTTACTAGTAAATATCCAAATCAACATTTAATATATACATTAAGCCAGAAGGCCAGGAAACAAAAAAAAAATCTGCTTTGTTTTTTTTTTTTTGTTTGTTTGTTTTTTTACAGAAGCCTTGCCCACCCCAGACCACTGACTAGTGTGAAAGAGAAAGGCTAATTTTCTCTATTGATGTTTCTGTTGTTTCAAACTACTCAGCCTCCTGCGATCCCCCAGGCAACAAATGAAGCATTGGGAAGTTTTGAATGGTCCTCTCAATGGGCAATTACACGTTTTTTTAAGACAATAAATTTTACCCATAGTGTAGCTGATTACATTCATTTCTGAAAATGACAGAAAACAGTGAATAGAAAATTTTCCTGTCTAGTTGCATTCAGATAATCACCAGAGCATCGCAGAACGTGCATCCCTCCTGGCTGGGGAACTCTGGAGGTGAGCCTGCTCTTCAGCGAGCAAGCTGTGTGACCCGAGGAAGTGGCACACCTGGCTATTTCTTGTCTCTTCAACAGGGGCAATAATGCTGCCCCTGAACCCTCAGCTTAGAGAGATGCTGGGCCCCAGAAAGGAAGGCAGGCTAACCAGGAAAGGCATGACCAAGTTCTTAATCAAGGAGAGTGATATATGTGTGTGTGTTTTATTATTCATACTAACGTTATTGTCATGGTAATACATTTCACAGTCAATTTCTAAAACAGTTGTAAATACCCATGGACACAAAAGTAACACAGCATGAGTTTGCCCCTGGATCTCCCAGCACACCAGATAAACCTAGATGGGCAACCAAACAATTCTTTCCTGCAACTCAGAACGTATTTCTTTTTTTAAAAGTTTCAGTGGAGGGCCCTCCCTGGTGGTGCAGCAGGTTAAAGTGCAGCACTGAGAAGTAATTCGCAGCCACTACAGCACCAGTTGATCCCCCACTAGGGAACTGACCCACATGGCACAGCAGACCTCTCCTGACCTGCCCACTGCTCCCCTCAGCAGTATATTTCAGTCTGCCTGCCTGTTC